GGGAAACTACTGGAAATGTTGCTCATTTTGCTTATTTGGCGTCCTTTTCCATGTTGAATGACAGACAGGAGTGAGCAATGTTATGTGTTTAAGGTAGTGAAAATACAGAACCAGTGAATCAGACAAGAAAGGAACCAAGTGTGGTAATCCACAGATAGCAGGTAGACATCTGAAAGCAAATCCAGTCTCTGGAATTCGATATTATATTTTTATGTATCTCTAAAGCCTCTGTACTTTAATGTAGTTATCCCCTAAAATAGAAGATAACTGTTTACCACCTTTCTTTAATCCAAAGTGTTTTACACGAAGGATCTCTGTGTAGCACCAAAGATGGAAAGCACGAATGAACAGCACACCTTCAGTTGGTGCTAGAAAGCAACAATGGATAGTTACTAGCATCAACCTGAAGCCTTACTGTCCCTTTGATCTAACAAAATATTCAAATCTAACAGAAAAATAAAAAACTCACATTAGGACAGACCAAACTGCCAGAAAAGTGCTATTTTTAAAAACTCATCAGGCTAAGTGGTAAAGAGGAAGAGAATGAGGCAAGCAACAGAAAATTAAGCCAGGTATGCAGTATAGGCTCAGTTACAAAATGGTGATTGCAAACTGAATGAATTACTTTTATCTGTTGCAAATATCAGATAACATCTAGCATTCTGGGATCAAGAAACAATGTCTGACCCCCATATCTAGAAAACTTAAAGCTTTCTATAAAGCTATAACTCAGATTTGCCTCTTGCTGTATCCAAGACACAAAGGTCTCCAAGTGGGCAGTGAAGAGAAATAAAGAGAAACGTTACAGACTTTATATCAGCAAACCCAAAAATTATGTTCAGGTGGTACACTAGTCATAAAATAATTAACTATTCAGTTTTAATACAATTCCACTACAAATATTAACTGTTATCAATAAAAACTGTATGAGAGAGCCATTATAATAGTTGGCATCAAGTTTAATGATAGTCCACAGCCCATTATTATTGTATTATTATTACTTTAAGGAGTACTTGATTTAATAGAATAAAAGGGGGTGACGAGAAACTTATGGATACAAAAAAAGCCTACTAGGCATTTTTACCATTAAGAATTTTAATCAAACTTAAAGACAAGTTTGTTTTTATTTTTTGGCGCCAGGCGAAGACCTTTTTATTTAAGCATCATTTTAATTGTTAATATTATTTGATTTTATCTGGCCAGGGTGACTTATTTTATATTGTTATTTTTTTGTATTTTAACTTAATGTTTGTATTTTAACTTAATGTTGTGAGCCGCCCCGAGGCTTTGGCGAATGGGGCGGCATAGAAATGTTTTAATAAATAAATAAATAAAATTAAAACAAGAAGTTAATGCCTGCTTTAATTCTTTAAATATCACTCATAAATCTTTATTTCTTAGAATATGTACTTTGCAACTTATTCTAGTTACATAAAACTGTAGGAAAGGAAGCCACCAAATGACAATGAACATATTAATTTATTATGGAATATGTTTATTACAATCTACACACGTGATATATTGTTTGCAATTGTTTATTATCTAGCTCATATTCCTCTGCAAACAATTTACTTGTCCTAGACCAATAAGCTCCATTACTAGATTTAATATAAGGTTTAAATTTCTCCAGGGGAAGAACTTTCCAGACAAGAGATGAGGTAATGATCCAGTTTGCATGAAAATATAATATATGGGTTATTTAACCCACTGGGACTGTGTTCTTGGGTTGTTCAGTGTGACAACTGAACCTGGAACTGTGTGTTGCTGAGTGGGCAACAATGGTAGGATGGTTGAATTAAAACTTTGGGTTGCTTCTCACACAACAACTCAGAGTTTTGGGTTCACACAATGCTTCAAATAACCCAGGCACCGGCCATAATTGAGTATAGTGAACCCACTTTGAATTCAGGGCTATGTTATGAACTGGATGCAAATCAGTGAGCAGGTATGAGGGAATATACTTGCTTCTGACCAACCTTGGATTAATTCATTAATCCATGGTTGGGTGTTCTGTCTAAACTGGGCATATGTCTACTCAGAAACCTCCATAACTTTTCTTCTTCAAGATGGTCTGGAAAGTCAAATATGGGGAAGCTTCTTAATTTATATTCTCCATCCTCCTAATCCTTTGGTGCCTATAAGTTACTAGCAAATTAGTATAAGACACACCACCAGGAACTTTAAAAGTTATATTAGTATTTACAGTAACACTAGGATAATTTGCTTTCAAAAATTCAGTAATGCTTGAAGTATGAACATAGCTGAACATGATAAACCATCTAGAAATGTAGGGAAATTCAACTAAGTAAATCTAAAGAATCCACTAGACAATTCCTGAATTTATTTATCACTTGCACACAGCCATCAGTATGTCCATGTGGTTTCATCACAGCTACAATTTCATACTAAGCACTGAAGAAGGTAAACATTATTGGACTCTAAATTTCTTCTATTTTTAATCTATGAAAACCAGACTAGTAAGCCTGTACCCAACTAGCAAAGGGCTTCAGCTCATTCTCATTATTCCCAGGTCAGATCTGAGCATTCATCTGATTCTTTCTTTACCTTTTACCACAACAGTTTCAAGCCCTAATCACCTAAACTCCAGGTATTCACATTTTCTTTCCCGATGACAACTGACTTCAGTTATCGAGCAAGCATGTATAACTGAAATAGGATTGTAGCCAATATTTTAGTTTAAGCAATATCTGAAGTATTCTGAGGGTGAGCTTTATTGCTTTTTATGCAACGTTCTCAAACTTGAAAGACTAGTTTGACTTGCCAGCTTTTAAAAAGTTAATCTACTGATCCGACTAATAAACACAGCATGATCAAAAGGCACACAGCATAGGGATGCAGCATGAGGCAAATTGCTGACACGTACACACGCTTCTGTTAAGAAATTAAGCGGCCATTTGCACAGTTTGCAGCTGGGCAGGGCTGGCCAGGTGGAATGAGGACTTGAAAATATTTCATTTCTGTATGCGATGAAGAAACACAAAATGTGCATGGATACATTTAATCATTAAGCCTTTTCTAGTTCACTGCATCATGGTATCTCCATGTCACAGTGCAGCATGCTCAACTATTCATACTTCTTAAATACACTGGCTACATGTATCAAAAATCAAGTCACAGTTTTCTATACTGATCAAATACAGATTGCATATATGTAGATAAACAACTCTTGACAGCTTCAGTTATATCTGTCAGTCTTCTAAATTTAAGAGATTATGAATATATGAACGTGAATTCAGTGCACTTTCCTTCTGTCAAACATCTGTGGTTAAACACCCTGTTTTAAATCTGTGGGTGATGCAAACAGTTGCCGCAGAAGGTTTAAGAGCTGCTCTGCCACCTATATTGTTTTTGAGGACAACAGTAGCTGCTATCTGGATTAAGAGTGTGTGTATGGTGGGTGGGGGAGGCATATTTAACACTAAACAAAATGTGGATGACAATATGTATCATAACTTGAATTATAATTCCAGGTTATGCAGGCTGTTTTTCTCTTGGGAATCTCACACTGCTCCAGGTAGTTGAGAGACTACTGAGCTTCAACATGGGGAACAGGTTTAAATCTCCACTCAAGTATGAAATTGATCAAATGATCTTGGACAAGTTACTATCTCTGCCCAACACAGAATTCTGGAGAGCTTAATGTGCTTCGCTGAATTAACTAGGAAAAGAGAGGGATATAAATGCATTTTTAAAGAACTGTTCACACTCTCATTCTTACTTAGCTTGTATTTCTCTCAGCTTTTTTCTGCACAGATAATTCTGATAGAAAAAGGATGGGTAACCTGTAAATATTCAGATGTTTTGGCCTACAGTTTCCATCTCCCCTCACCACTGGTTATGCTCACTAGACAGAAACTGTAGATCGAAGCAATCTGAAAATCTTCAGCTGTGCACCCTTGAGATTCCTACATTATCACAATTTCTTTGCTTTTGCCGTTATTCCAAAAATAAACTGTTAGTAGTAAAGCACACTGCAAAAAAAGAAACCCTGGGCTTTATATGACTGGCAAAAACCACCATACAATGAATCCAAAGATAACTGCAAGATTTTTACTAGCAAATATCACCAGCAACTTTGAAAATAATGGCACTTAACTCATTCAACAGAAATCTTGGTTTTTAAGTGACAGTTTTCCCTTCTACTGAAATGTGACAGCTTTTTTGAAAAATGCCTAATTGGAGGGGGATCCAAGCAGCTGCCAAGCACTTGGATCATACTGAAAATAGTGACATCATACCAAAAACAGAAAAAGCCATAAAAAATAAAACAATAAAATACGTAGCTTGCTGCATAAGCAGCCAAAGTCTTGCCTCCTTGCTTATTTTATAAATAAAAGCCATGTCTTTACTCTTGAGCCAAAGGATTCATCTTTCTTATTCATGGACCTGCAACTGTGCTGATTTGCAATCATGTTCTCTTAAGCCAGATTTCTTCACAACCCAAAAGTCATCTGTTGAAGCCTATAAAGTACTTGATAAACCCTGCAAAAACATGGGCTATATGAAACACCTGCCAAGCCAGAATGACCTACAAAGTCCAGCATCTGAAATGTGGCATGAATGTCTTTTCAAGCAATGAAAATTTAAGCGAGCACACAGCAGCACTTCCTGGCTATTTAGAAGAATATCTTGTTCAACAGTGTATTATTATACATGAAAACAAGGGACTGTTCAGTTATGCAGATACATCACTTGATCTCTCATTTTCTCATTAAGTGCACTCAAAAGCAGTTCAATAACTAATGGAAAGTACTGCCAAGGTCCATTGACACTATGGAAGTTCTGTCTGGAGGATAAGGTGTATAATAGCTCACATGCATATTCAAGTTTCCATTTTGTACTACAGCCATCCAGAAGTGAAGATATCTGTGAACAAGCGCTAAGTACCTATGCAAATTACCAATCATAAATCTGTTTGCCTTTAAACTCTTGTCATTCAAAATTATGAAGCAGAGGACAGGTTTAAAAGATTGTACTACCTTGTGTGTTTTGCTGAAAGATTTTATTCAGATCTAAGGAGGATGCTCTGGAATGTGATTTCTGTGGCCTTGGTGGGGGAGTTGGTGGTTCTCCCCCTTTTTTCATTGCATCTTCAATAGATGTGCTAGAGTAAGACCTCAGGGGAAAGAAGACAAAATTACAACTAGAAACATTACTGGTGCTTCTATGTATACTACAAAGACTATAATAAACAAAGTGCAGGAATTTGGAGCAAAATTTGTTCAATTTGAAAAAAATCATTAAAATATGACATCCTCACTGCTCTCTTCACAAAGTAGACCCAATTTGCATAATTTCCCCTATATTCCTGACTAATTGATTAGGTGTCTGCACAGAGCACTTGCTTCATATTAGGATTACTGTGGTGGTGATGAAAAGAATGAGATTATTCCAGTATGTCAAGAAAATAAGGGTGTGTTCTTCTTTACCTAGTGATGAGACTGCCATGCAAACCAGGGCACAGTACTGTGCAGGGTTATCCTTTTAAAAGAATTAGAGTTCAAGACTTCTTTAAAAAAAAGGCACTGAAGGCTCCTTTAAAAAAGAAAATTATGTTTAAATACCCATTCTTAGTTATTTGTGGTTCTGGCTCCCTGTCTTCAGCTTCCATATGAGGAAACTAAACTCTAATGGACCACCCATGCAGCTTATCTCTGCATAATATTTAGAAAACCACTGTGTGTACAGAAAGGCTAGAAGACAGGTCCAGCGATCACATACAAAGTAAGTTGTGAAACAAGGAAAAGTGAAAGGCTGCAAGCTCAAAGAGTGGCTTCATCTGCATGATCAAATCAATCAACACTGTCAGGTTGTGCAAACCCAGTGGGTTGTTAATGTGATTAGTCAACTATCCACAACTCTAAAAATAGCCCATTGTTCACAGGTGGAGCGTTAATCATGCCAACAATCCAGCCTCACCAGGTCTGCATCATTTGATAAGTTACAAGGTGAGTGGGTGCCCTCAGATGCCTGCAAATCATGGTGACTTATTTATGCCATGGTGGGTTAATAGGATAATGTGAACAAGGGCAGTGTGTGTAACTTCTAGCAGCTGGGAGCTGACAAATAAAACCAATTTTTTAAAATATGTTTTTTTTCCAGAAATGGCAAACATTTAAAAATACTGCAATAATGTATTCCATGCAAAATAACTGGGTCTACCTGTTATATGCACAGAAATGCATATAGTTAACCTATATCCACCTAGGTCTTAAAACATGCTACAACAGACTAGCTGCTAACAAATCCATCTTCTGGTGTCATAAGGGCAGAACTGATACACTTTCCAATCAGCACTAAGTTGAAGAATGCTGTGAAAGACAGTATCTAAAAAGGAAGGCTTACTCCCCATGCCAACATGTGACTCTCAGTGTCAAGCAAGCTCCAGGGCATGTGCTGGTTCTATCTCTGTCCTCAGCCACAGTGTGGCTAGAAATGGGCATGGCTAGATAGGCATCAAAAATGCAGGGGCTGCAGGAATTAGATCTGGTTAATCAATACTTCTGGTGCACTTTTATTTACATGCACAGAAATTCTGTATATGCCAACAATCAAATACTTTAAAAGGCTAAATAAAAGAAGTAAGACTAAAGGGCAAGGATATTTTTTCCTGTTGCTACAATCATTTTTCCTTTGCAAGGTTGCAGTCAAATGAGTACTGACAACATGGAGCTGCTATGCTCACTTGAACACATTATGCATGACAGACTTAAGATTCCTCCCCTCCACAACAACAACAACCCCCCCCCCCAAAATACCCAAGCAAGCAGAGCAGAGCAGGAAAAAAAACTTGCAGTTGATTAAAAAAGGAACCAGCAATGGTTAGGATACAGTGGACAAAAACAGGCAAAGAGAAAGGAAGGTTTGTTGTTCTTTGTTTTACTTACCTGGACCTTGGTCTTGCTTTGAGTGTGCTTGATTCCTGAACTGTAGCAAAATATCACTTGTTATAAACATTTTCAGGAAAACAGAACCTTATAATTACCAGTGAAGCATAAAGATAAATAACTGTAAACATCTATTATCTGTGACTGAGCATCTAAATACAAGATGTTGCACCTTAAAATAAAAGATTTGTTTCATTTTCAGGAGTAACTCCTTCAGTCAATTTCCAGAGAGAAGTCCATTGTACCAAGAGCAAACAAGATGCTTCTGGCACTTTAAAGCAAGGGGTCCCCAACCCAATGTTCATGAGGACTTCTAACAATGCCCATGAACATATCGCTTCCTTGCCCCTTCAAAAAGTTAGTTCTAAGAAAACTAACCCTTGGAAAGCTGTCTTGAGCTGTTGTCGGAAGGACAGGATACACATGTTTGAAATGAATGAATGCATGTTAGGGCTGTCTTCTTTCTCTCTCACGCCATTCCTCTTGCGCCCCTGCCCACCTGCACACTTTGCTTCACTGTTTTCCCTTCCTCCCAGCCTCTGCCCTTGCTCTTTCTCTCTTCCACCAGAGAGAAAGAAATTTAATTCAATTTTACTAGCCAGACTCCATTGACTAGCCACATGTTCCATGGGAGCTGTTTTGTGGTGGTTTCCACAGCAGCTTTTCAAATTCCCAAATGTGCCAAAAATGTTGGCATCTTATCTTAAAGACTGTGACAATCATGTTATTGATTGTCATCATCAATACTTTCTGCACTCCTGTTCACAGTTTCTCCCTCCCACCAAACTAGCTCCATGATATGTATGGATGTACAAAATGATATGTATGTACAAAACTGAATGTCCATGATATGTATGTACAAAACTCCAATTCTCCATAATGCTCAGTGGGGTAAATGAAAGCTGATAGCATAATAAATGTGCTAGTCCGTTAAGTTAGTCTTTAAGTTAGTCTGTTTATCTTTTTTCCTTTAGATGCTGGACTTCTTTTCCCAATAGTAGTTGACATGCTTCCTTCTCACACTAAATAATAACTAGCCTCTAGGAGGGCCTTATTTGTTTATAAAGAAGAACTATTAAGCAGTAGAGAAATGTAATAAAATTTTTAAATAAACACTGGACTTGCATTATTTCCCCTGTCTGATAAACTATGGTTCTGTTTAAATGTATTAGTTTTGGATATCCTGGTTTGAAGGGAGCTCTTCAAGCAAAATTTTCTGAGTTGGATATCAAAGGGAATTGACTGAGAAAGCAGGAAAGCTTCACCCAAGTCAGGCATGAGAAAGGAGAGAGAAAGCAGGAGAAGGAAGAGATCGTTACTTCTGCACTGAGCCACTGCTGGTACATGTAACACAGCCATAGAGGAAGGCATCCTGTGCCACTGCAGTAACATACGAATTGGTCTATGTAGCCAATATATTCTCACATAAAATTGCCATCCTGACTCAGTGGAGATACCAAATTGGTCATCATAAGGAAACTGTTTTTGAACATTTAAAACAGTTTTGTTGTACAAGAAAGTTAATGATTTATCGGCTGCTTGAATGGTTCCTCATTTTGAAAACTGAAAAGCTAGCATATCAGGAACATGGCTAGGAGATACCTTTTCTCCCCAATCTGCTTGCTTTTCATTTAGAACATGGTTGTGCTTTGTTTTGCTTGTTTTCTGTTTTTAACGTGCAGGAGCATTCAAGCTTGCAAGCCTCTCCAGCCTCAGGAGAGGGCAGGCAGTCTGAACTAAGATGAAGCCAGGTTTTCATGGTGGCTGGGAGGTAAGATCCAAGACTTGGACCTCTTCCTCTGAAAGGGGAGATATAGGGGCCTATATCCTATGACCTCTAGGACAGTTATATTGCTCTCATAGAATCTTCTTTTTAAAAGAAACTGTTTACAGAATATTTAGAACATCAGCATAGTTTAAAATGCAATTACATATTCAGTTTCTTACATGTGGAAAGATACTTTTTATGAAACTTAAGAATCTGATGATAATCAAGAATAGTGCAAATGTACTCAGAATAAGTCAGATCCACTGCATAATGAGACAGCTATATAAAAAGCAAGCACAAGCTAGAAAAAATCAATTCACAGAAACTGAACAAGTGGTAGTAAATTTTTATTTATTAATGCTATTAAATTATCTTGGACAAACTCATAACTACAAACTATCCAAAAGCAAATGGAAGACATTAAAAAACAGCCTTTTGGATATTCTAAATTATGAACAAAGTTGAGTCTCCCTCTCATTATTCTTACTCCTGAAAATCAATACATATAATTTTGCAAGGAGTTTGTGGTAAATAAATGGCTTGATCCTGACTGTTTTAAGTAATTTATTTATTTATTTATTAAAACATTTTTATGCCGCCCCATTCGCCGAAGCCTTGGGGCACCTTACAACATGTGTAAGTCATGTGCAGTTCCAGTGGTGGGCTTGTAGTTATCAGAAGTGTGGAATATATGATTGATCAAATTCACTGCATCCTTTACTTCATGAAACCCTAAATTATCCCACACATATGTAATTAGAAATCCAATCTGTTCATATTCTTCATTATTACTAGGCCACTAAAATTAAGAGGAAGCTCTGCCTTACTTTGACCTAGGACTCACTTGGCAGTCTTTTTGTCAGTACAGGATATTCATAAAGCTTTCCTCCAGAACCATGTTTTGAATGCATTCATTTTCATCCTCTCAGCATTTTTCATTGTCCAAATTTGACACCTGTACAGATTGATGAAGCATACAATAATCCTTACACTGGATGAGGATTACATTTTCCTAGTTCCCTTGTTGCTCTCCTTCCACGTCTGTCTCCTAATCTACGGGCTGCAGTCTCTGTTTAAATTTATGTTAGAGCCAAGGTATGCAAAACCTCTTCTAATTTGGATTTCTTCATTGTTGATACTGTAGTTGTGCATTCTGTCTGGTGTTGTGATTTTCATTTTCTTAATGTTCAGCTACAGTCATGCTTTTGCACTTCTTTCATTTTCATCAATTTCAATTCACCGCTGCTCTCTGCCAATAATATATCATCTGCATATCTTAAATTACTGGTATACCTACTGCCAATGTTTACCTTCTCCTCCTCCATTGCAAACGAATACAGCTTTCCTTATGACATGATATACATACACATGAAACTGATGGGGAGATAAAACATATCCTTGTCTGACACTTCTGGCTACAGGAAACTATTCTGTTTCTCTATATGCAGTAGCTTCTTCTCTACAATACAGATTACTTATCAGGATGATCAAGTGCTGATTTTTCAAATCTATCAAGAGCTTCTCATTAATCACATAGTCAAAGGATTTGTTGCAGTTTATAAAGCACAGGCTAAACTTCTTCTGAAATTCTTTGGTGTAACCCAGTAGCCAAAATACATTTGCAATATGATCTTGAGTGACTCTTTCTGGAATTCAGCTTGAACATCAAGGAGTTTTTGCTTCCCAGAGGATAAAATTCTTTGTTGCAACACCTTGAACATCAATTTGCTTACTTGGGAAATTAATGCAATACTACTATAGTTGCTGAATTCCTTAGCACGTCCTTTCTTGGGGACTGGAGTAGACCGTTACTTTGTTTTCCATATCTGTTGGCATAACCTTGTTAGGATTTAAACCGATTCACTCTCTGCTTCTTGGAATAGTTCTACTGGTACTATATCTACTCTGGTGCTTTATTCCTTCCAAGTACCTTGAGAGTATCTTTGACTTCAGTTTCTAATACTGGAGATTGTTCCTCATAGGATTCTTCAAGTCATCTTTTTACATCTTCGGTTCTTCCATATATTGTTTTCCTCTTTTGTTTAATTTCTCCTGGTCAGATGTTTTCCTGTAAGTCTTTCAGCACTCCTAATCTAGGCTTGAATTTCCCTGGTTCTTTTAGAAGAAGTCTCTTGTTTTTCTACTTTTGTTGCATTCTTCTATCTGCACAAGCTATTATAATTTTTCTTTTTGCTTCTATGTGATAGTTGCTAAAAAAAAGTTGTATTCAGGATTCTGACCCTATTATCTTTTATTTTGCTTGTCTGTCCTTAGCTATTGTGAATGTTTCTTTGATCATTGATGTAGGCTTTTTTCTCTTTTTACTACAGAAATTGCCTTTTTGCATTCTTCCCTAATAATGTCTCTGGTTTCAATCTAGAGTTCTTCTAGTTCACAGCCAATTCCATTGGGTAATGCAAATCTGTTCTTTATGCGGTGCTTTGATCGAGGATGTTATTTTAGTTGTATTTGACACTATGCTTCTGTTAGTGATCTTTTCAGCTTTACTTTGATTTTTGATATTAATGGCCATTACCACAATCTGTTTCTGGTCTTGCTTTGGCAGCAAGAATACGGTTTCTCCATCTCCTTATTTCAATTATATAGTCTATTTGACTTTTATATTAGCCATCTGGTGTTGCCTATGTGTTGTCTGATTGGTTACCTGAAGTATGTATTTGTACTAAACAGATGGCTGGCTTCACATAACTCTACGAATCATTCTATTGCTTCATTTCTGACCTCTAGGCCAAATTTTCCAAAAGATTTGATTCAGTTTTTTATCCTGCTTTTGTGCTCCAGTCACCTATGTTTATCAGCATGTATTCTTTGGTGTGTTATTTTCTCTTGGGTGCTTGCATAATTTTTTTTTTATTTCTTCTTCAGCATCTTGCTGGAACACAGACTTGAATAATAGTTAAACTGATTTAAAAAAATTATGTACCATTCTCTCAGCACATTGCTCTTGGGACAGTTTACAAATAGCCAAACATTAAAACAGCATAACAATAACCAAAAACCTATACAAGGATACAGACAAAATAATCTAAACAAATACAGCACAGAATAGATAGTGACATATAAAACCACTGCAACCAATCATTATAATAAAATAAAAATAAAAATCCAACTCTAATCAACAATTAAAATAATGGGATACTTAAAAGATATTCGACCTGATGCCAAAATGTTTAAAGTCTTGGCACCAGGTGAACCTCCCTGGGAAGCGGATTCCATAATACAGAGCCACTACCGAAAAGGCCTTTCCCCTTGTAGCCCCTCCCTGCTTCCTTTAAAAGTGGCTCTTGCAAAAGGACCTCTGTTGAAGAACTTAGGGTCCAGTTAGGTATAGAAAAGAAGAGGCATTCCTTAACATATCCTCGTTATAAGCTGTTTATGGCTTTATACATTCATATAAGCACCTTGAAGCAGGCCCAGACTTCAATTGGCAGTCAGTGTAATCGATAGAAAAGAGGGTTTAGGTGTTTGCATTGGCCCATCCCAGCCCTGTTCTGCACCCACTGAAGTTTCCGAACCGTTTTCAAGGGAAGCCCCACATACAACACATTGCTGTAATCTAAAAGGGAGGTTACCAGTGCGTGGATCACCATTGCTAGATGCTGCTCGTTCAGGTAGGAGCGCAGCTGATGCATCAATTGCAGTTCATAAAAGGTGCTCAAACCCCACCTGGTATTCCAGGCCCAATCCTGGGTCCAGGAGCACACCCAAACTCCACTCTCTGTCCTGTGAGAGAGTTCAACCCATCCAGGACAGGGTGGATATCCTCCTTCTGGACTGAGGTTATAGGCCCTTACAGCCCATGCTACATCTTTCCACAGTAGCAGATCCATTCCATTTCTGCTGAATTTGTCACTTCCAGAATAAAAACACTTTGTCCAATCCCAGTCAACTTTACTGAGACCACATCAAGTACTGGGATTTTACCAACCAAACAAGTAGTGGGTAAACTCAGAGATTCTACATTACCAGAGAACTGTTCTTTTTTATTATATATAGACATTTTACATACCTGCTTTGACAGCCAAGTGCTGAGATGCCTTAAATTCCTTTGGTATTGCTTGGGCAGATGCACTCACTCTCATACCTTAATAAAAAACAAATAGTGGACTGTTATTTGATATTAGGTCAGCGGAGAACAAAAGGCTATATAACTATGGCAAACTCCAAACAGAAATCCTATGAAGAACTGCTTCTCATTCTTATTAATAATGTAGATGTCCTTATATAAGGTGATACATTTTAGAGAGACAGCCTGTGTACAAATAGATATGCAAAACATTATTTTTCAATGTTCCTGTATGAAGCCCTAATGCTGCATTTCTAATGGGCCAAAAGAACTGAAAATATATAAATACTAAGGGATATTAAGATTCACCCTTGAATCTTCATATATATAAAATATTCAGCAGGATTCAAGGCCCATACAACTGAATTAAGAGTCCTGTGAGTAGAATACCATTCCTCAATCTTGGTTTCATTCTGCCTCTACAAATCCTCTGTTGGTAGTGAAGCAGGCATGTTGGAGGTCTTCTGGAAAATTTGGCAGTTGCAGGAGGAGGGTGATGGGAAAAATCATCCCCTCCCCCCTTTCAGGAATGGAAGCCTTTGCTCAATCCAATTTCCTTATCACTACTTTATTTAAGCACCTTTAGATGCAACACTACAGATTAGTTCAAAATTGAGAAAGCAGTATATTGTCGCCCTGCCTATTTATATGCAGAGTGCAGGCGGGGCTAGATGAACCACCAGTTGGAATTAAGATTGCTGGGAGAAATATCAACAACCTCAGATATGCAGATGATACCACTCTAATGGCAGAAAGTGAAGAGGAACTAAAGAACCTCTTGATGTGGGTGAAGGAGGAGAGCGCAAAAGTTGGCTTGAAATCTAAGAACTAAGTGAAAGGGGAGAGAGGGAGGTTCTCCAAAGCATGCCTTTCTGCCCTGCTCATCTGGAGAGGGAAATTCAGCATTTCATTGCTGCAAAGAGGAGGCACTGGCAAGTTTGGATAGGGAAGGGGGCTAGAGATATTCACGGTTTTTCAACTTTCACAGTGTCCTGCACCCCCAACTGCTGCGAATGTGGAGGGCCAACTATACATGATCTGACATTTTCTCAGGAATGTAAATTGCTTGTATCCCAGATACTGCATGTACTTAATTCTTAAATGTGCATAATGTCTAAGATTAATCCATCAAGCACTGGAACTATATAATTTATTCCAATAAGGTTTCTGTGAGAAGCTCGTTGAAGTAAATAGATTGTGCAACAGTAATGACTGGTGGATTAGTATCTGGATTTCAAGACTCTCCTTTACAGTCAAACAGTGAAAGTCCAGGATTAGTACTCAGGTCCCTTTGAGTCCTATGAGAACTGCCTCACCCTCAATCCCATGCTTTCCCCTCTTCATGGGTTAGACTGAATCAAAAATGCAAGAAAGGCAGCATCTGAGCCATTTGATTGCATTGGGCTAGCAATGGCATACTGGGAATATGAACTGATTGGAACATTTACTATTGAGTGAAGAATATTATCCTTGCTCAGTGTTTCAGTGCACACATCGTATGCAACTCAGAATATATGATATACTCAGTTTCAGGCAGGTTCAAACATCATAGCAACCCACCATGACAATATGCTTCAAAATAGATCATGCATGCTTTTGTTGATCCCCACAATGCCCTAGAAGTATAGCCCTCTCATCATTTGATTGCCCTTATATTAGTTAAGATGCAACATTTTCAAAGCAAGAGAGAAAGTCAGCAGGCATTAACATTAATAGTCAGATGGATCAGATCTATGTTTTTGTATCTCCTTTGAATACTTTCTCAGAATATTGGAAAAACACAGTTTTCTTTTCAAATTATAGTGTATGTCTGGAGGCATTAGAGTGAGAAATAAAATTCTGAGTCTTTCCCAAGAGCCCTTCTTTTCCCAAAACCTGAACTTCTGTCTCTTCTGCAAGTCTGCTGAAATATGCTACTACCACAGAAACATCTCTTTATTATTATACTGTTACTTGAAGAATTGTTGAAACTGAAATAGAAAAGACAGCAACAGAAAAGAATAATTGCATTTGTGAAGAAGAACTTTATATTAGTAAATTTCTAGTCCCGCTTCCTCCAACCATCACTATGTTCACCTGCCTTGGAATATTTTGGGGAGAATTTACTCAAGGTTAGAGCAATTTTAAAGAAAAAAAATTAACTTATCTTTTCATGGGTATGTGTCTAGCAGAATAAACAAATATGTGTCCACCAATGATGATATACCACATTATCCAGGAAAAGAACTTTCTAGATCTGATGTAAGCAACCATGTGTCAACATGTTTATTTCAAACACAGATACAGCATTCATTTAAACTATTTTTGCAAAATTAGGCATGTGGACACAGCCCAGAAAATAATTTTTCCTTCTTTTAGAATAAAGGAAAGGTCTGCTGCTTCCAAGAGACACATGCTGAATTTTACATATCTGTTTGTCTATTCCTTAACATGGAGCATGCCTCTTTTGTACTCTGAAGTCCCTAGCCAGGGACAAAAGCGGCATGGAATGGAAACCTCATTTTCTTAAACAGCTCTCATGTGAGCTAAAAGTAAACTCCATGGGTTTTTCCCACAGAATTAGCACCTGTGCTGTCAGTGCTTGTTCACATGATTTAAGATAAATTTATGCTGACCTTGAGTAAAAATACCCCAAGTTGGTAACCGCACTGCAAATTAAAGAACAATAAAAGACACATGCAAGGCTAAAGCCATCATAATAAAATATATGAGTTGCCCTAGAAATATCAGAAGCATTAATGGAAGACTGTCTTCCACACAGGTAAGTTAAAGTTAGAAACTCCTTTCAATGTGTTTTATTGAGGCTTCAAGAGTCTGATCCTTGTACTGTATAAAGGGCTGCACTGCACATTACAAAAATATTATTGCTATAATTATTACATTATGTTTTTATCCCATCTTTTTCCTCTCATCAGGAACCCAATATGGCTTACATAGCTCCATTTTATCCTTACAATAACTCTGTGAGGTAGGTTAGACTGAGCTTGAGTGACTGCCTCAAAGTCAAAGTCACCCAGTGAACTTCATGTCCAAGTGGTGACAAGAGCCTGGATCTCCCATTCTGACTATTTAACCACCACACTACATCAGCTGTCCAGAAATACAATGCTCCAAAGCACATGTTTGCTGGCAATGCTGATTAACTTATTGTTTTATACATATACTTCCAGAACATTCTTCAAGTAAAATAAAATAAAAGATAATTAATGTTAACAGAAAGATGGAAGGCATTTGCAGGGAAGAAGTAACAGGAAAATTCTAATTCCTTCACACAAGCACCCTCCCCATGCACAGAAACCAGCCCAGCTGTGTAGAAAAGGGTCAGTGGAAGGCATTTGCTGGCGAGAACCAGCAGGCATGGTTCTCCAAATCTCTCCATGCTGCTCTTGCATTGATGTTAAGTGGTATTGATGTTAAGATGCTCGTTTAGAACAAATGTGTTCACTAATGTAACATGTTAGCTCTCCTCTAGACGCTGATGCTGACATCAGGAAATGCAAATAGGTTCTCTCTTACAAACAAAACACTTTTAAAAGAGGAATCTGAACTATAACAATGAAATACATTTGAAATGGCTTATGGTTTGTTTTTCTTAATCCGTGTCTCTATAGAAAAACCTTCTCATATGTTTTTCCTACTGAAGAGTGATGCTCTTGATTCAGACAACATTGATTTTCCTGAGCAACAGGAATTGCATAGTATATCTATTACCACCTAAAACCTAATTAATTAAGAGACAGCGGTTTGGAATTGTACCTTGTTTGTCATCATTAATTGTGTCCTGTGCCAGGGCCGCTTTATCAGGCATCTCGTCAAGCGAAGTCTCCTTTTAAAGACAAGAATAGTTTGTGAAGATTAAAAATGAAAGAAAGAGGAGAGAGGAAAACACACAAGTCAAGTCATTTGACAGGTTACAGACCGAAAGAAAATGATTGTCTGGAGAAACCACTGGATGAGAATGCCATCAGAGACAAATTTCCAGATTACACAAATCATCTAGCTTTGAAGATGAATTAACTTTTATATAACAGAGGGGGCTGAATTTGGGAAGTCAAACAGCTGCAGAACTATTTCCCAATGTGACATTCAGTACAATTAAATGCATCTTAGTTCAAAAGTATCCAATGGGGATTCTTCCAAGTAAGTGTATTCAAAATTTCAGCATTAACTGGCAGTTGTTCACTGCCAGAGCAATAAAATGTTAGACTACAATAAAAAAACTGAGTGCAGTGTCCTGTCCAGTGGACATACAAACAGTCTTCTTTGGTCAGCTTACATTTTTGTCAACATTCACGAAGTTGTGAACAGTGCCCGAGTTTGGTTTTCTATGACAATGAATTCAGATCAGCTTAACTCGTATACTATCAGCCAAGTATCCAAACAAAATATTTAGTTCGTTTGAGTCTCATCACTGTTTACTAGGAAAGTCTGCAATGCTCCTTTTCTTTTACAATTTCCATTGAATATCAATTGTGATACATTACTGATACAGAAGGGCATAAAAGTACACTTCTATACAATGAATAATACAATAAATAGTAAATAAACAAATGGTCACCAACTGGCTCAATGGAAGTTGCCTCAAAGAGAATCAATGGTGCTGAGTTGTTTGGATCCTCACAGACCGTTTCAAGCTGATAATTTCACCATGAGAGAAAAAAAGTTTGTGATAAAAAAGCATACCAGTATGTAAGAGGCTATTCTAAATTTCAATATCTAAATATTAATTCAGGTAGAAATGAAATAATTCTTGGTCAATTTTAAATGAATTTTGGCATGTTTGTTCAGAAATAATGAATAGGCTTTATCATCCAGGAATTGAGATCAGAATTTTGGATGAATCTATCACTGAAACAAGATATCCAACACCCCCAAGTTTTATACTTATTGTAGCTTGGAATGAAAAAAATGTTTCTAGAAAGAGGGGCAGGAGGAGAAATGTTTATGACTGAGTATCTTAAGGAAACACACTTCAGCTCATACCTGGCCCAAGGTTCTGTTCTCACGTAAAGTACCCCAGTGTCTCATGAAAATGCAGTCTCCCAATTCTCATGCATACTTTTGTAAACTCACACAGTCTCCCAACTTAATGTTCTGGCCTCATACGCAACCAAGTACTCTCTGCTCTCCTACCAGGCAGACAATGTTTATATAAGTCTAGCACCTCCACCTATAAGGACACCCAACCTATGCATCCTGTCAGAGGAAGTGTTCAAGCTGAAGCTCTTTCCTTAGCCTGTACTTTTCCAGTTGATAGTTGCAGAAACACTAGCACTCAAATAGCTCTGGCTGCCCTCTAGAAATCTTGAGCTTTTAACCAAAGAATCTTACAATTACTCTCGTGTCATGTAATGTAGTACTATACATTAACATCCAGAGGCACTTGACAGTTGCCTTTAATTGTGGAGGGGAAGAGGCACCAGAAGTTCTTTTTATACTTTTTATACATTTCTATTGATGCACACAGGGCAAGACACAAGTGCTAAAGATACCTGTGAAATCTGGATTGTTTGCAATTCAGCTGCTAAATTAGCCTCATGTAGGACAGAGTCTCCAAACTGATCCCACAGCAATTTCAGGACCCACCTTCACTTGCAAAATTCAGGCACTATTGATATATTTTGCCTGGTGCAATAAGGACAAGGGGCTATGTAACCTTTTAATCTTAGAAGATGTAGTTTTTCTTACCTCAGTCCTACTGAAGTCCCTTGCCTGTTGACTTACTGATAAAGGTTCTGAATAGGAATTCAGCATATGATCACCTTTAGGCTTAAGAGAAGCTAAAAGAAATAAAGAACATCTGTGTCTTAATCATAAGTTCTGTGTATTGCGCTACCTTCACATGCTGAGTGCGGGGCCGGGGGCACTTGGGGAATTCATCTACTTTTATTCCATTTCAAACTGCAGCCAAATAGAACCGGCACTTCTGCTGCTCTCATTTCTGAAGTGCTGGTGCGGCACATTTTTTGCTAGGTGGGCACACGTTAATGGATATAGTGCAGTATCCACTGTGTGTATAATGTAAACAAACCTCATATACCAATGCACAGTTTTCTAATTGTAGGAAAAGTTGAAAGAATGTGGAGGGTCATATATCCGTTATCCTTTATGTCCACCCTATAAGCAAAACTCACTTTATGTGGCTGCAACTGCAGGAAAAAATAGGAGCTGGTGTTGGTTGCTTCTTTATGTCTAGGAAATGTATGCATTCCGAAACAGTTCTGCATGAATGCAGGCTTTAAAATAAACGTTTTAATGTTTTAACTGCACAACTGTGTGGGTGGACATGAGAAAGCCTTCCTTCAAAATTATAATGGCTAACCAACCACCCCGGTCATGGGACATGATGAATGGAGGACAACTCAAAGATTTCCTGCCCACAAGTCCTGCTCCCTACCTGAGGACAAAGGTGAAAAAAAGTGCTACAAAAGAGCTTCTACAGCTCTGATGCTACTCTCACTGTTAAGAGTTACCACACCATTAGGTTAGAATGCACATAGCTCTGTGGTGCATGGAAACAGCTATCACTGGAAAAAATGTAGTAAAAGTGGTATGAAAGGAAAAAGCAGAACACTGTCAGATAAATATCATCAGGACAATGGGTTGGCAAGGGCAGTGTGTGTTACAAGAGAGAACCACACATTGTACGACCAGGATAAAATCTCTTTTGGAGAAAGCAGATAAAATACTTCAAGGTTTTATTTTTAGGCTCACAAAATTGGATTAAAACTTAATCCTGTGCAACTTTGGAAGAAAAAAGCCTACAGCTCCTAGCATGCTCAACCACTTGCTGAGCTACGCTAAGAAGTGCGGCTTTTTACACATATTTTTTCTAAGTGGGCACAACATTAGTCAAAACTAATGAAATTAAATTAGTAATAGCCATAATAAAAAAAGGCCTGGCTGTATTTTCCACCTGTTCAGACCAGGTACTTTCCACGTGGTAAAGATATACATAATTTGGCCTGCCCAGGTGGTAAGATACATTTAAATGTTAGATCAACATCATCTAACATTTCAGAAAAGGCTTCTCATGCCACTGCCAAGCCATGTAAAGGGCAGCATATTTTGCCAGAAAAGATTTACAGGCGAGTCCTGACCCCAACTGAAGGAACAATCAAATAGTCTGTCAGCTACAAAGCAAGCCCAGCTGCTATGATGTCAAAACAAAAGTCAGCTTGTTTCATTAGTGTTTGCCACATCTACATCTGTTTCTTCACGCAGGGTTAATGCATATTCAGGTGCACAGCAGGGTAATGGAGACAAGGTCAGATATAATGGTAGTATAATATGGAGTAGACAGGAATAGTGCTGGAAGCATGAAAGGAGAGCAGTGCAAACAGGTTCAAAATCTTTCAACTTCCAATTGTATCATATATAATCAGCTAGCAGTATAATAATTTTTCAGACATACATATCATCAACGTATTAGTCAAGCATGCTATAGCTTTTGCGCAGGTATTTTTTGCTAAGCTGTTTTTATCAACCCTGTCATTTACATACAATTAAAACCCCATAATTTCAGAGCTCCTTTCCCAGAACTGCTACTAAAAATAGACCTTGGTTAAAAGGACGTTTAATCAACTGAAGCTAAATGTCTTAAGCACAAGCAGAGAAGCTTCACCTGTTTGAAGACAGTCAGGTAGCAATGTTTCTGGCAAGGTATCCGGCAAAAGATAACCATTTTTCCGAGCAACAACAAGGTGAAAGGCAGCACAGAACTCTGGTAATGTCAATGCTCCATCACAGTCTACATCACTGAGTTCCCTGTGAATACGTTACCCATTATTGACATATTTCTGAGCATTATTGAAACAAAAGCACTGTATACTTGCTTGCATACACACTACATATAACTTTTGAATAATTTTTTCAGGAATGTTTTTTTTGGCATTCAAGATTTTTTTTGGAAAACCTGTTTCATGAAACTATCATAATTTTTATTGTGGAATTTGCTCCCCAGAGAGGTGTGCCTGGTGCGGACACTTTATTCTTTTTGGCACCAGGCCAATCCATTTTTATTTTCCCATTATTTTAAGACTTACATTTTAGTTGGGCTTTTATCATAGATATTATGCTGTGCCTTTGTTGTTGGACTGTCCCGAGACTTTCATGTATAGGACAGACTATAAAAGTTTTAAATAAATAAATGTTAGCTAAATAATGTATTTTAAAAATTGGATCCTCATTAGTAAAGTCTTGAAGAATTATGCAGATGTACTTATTCAAGAAGTCCGATAGTAATTGGATTTAATTGGTTAGCATAGCTAGAACTGAAGCCTAATATGTGATCTTAACTATTCTGAATGTATGTTTATCTGAACCCACTAGATTGCTGTGCTAATTATGTTCTTTAAAATATTCTTCCCAACACTTCTAGTATACTTTACTATTCAAATCCCTCTAGTCTCACTGAAAAAGGATAACAGATACAAAGATAACAAGCATAAAAGAAAGATCAGCACACAGCCTGCGGTGTTTGGACCTCAGAGTGATGTTGATGAAAACAACTATGATTTCTTTCAGAGACAGATTTTTAAAAGTATGAAAACTTTTCAGCCCATGTGGTTTACAAGTATACAAACTCATGGGGAAATAACTCTGAATCACAAAATAGTACTTACCATATGTGTGAAAGCTCAGGGATAGGCAGCTTTGATTTTGTGAAGAAATTCTTAGCCACAGTACCTGCCAACAGTAACATTTTATCAAACAATGAAACATTACATGTTTTTAAACACAGTGGGGGTGTTACATTTTTGTTTTAATTACCCAACTGTGCAGACATGTTGGTTGAAAACACCCTGCTACAATATTTCTATTTTTATTACATAACATAATAAATAGATTTCCAATCCATGGATTAAGTACTACATTTATAGTGAAAAAGCCATGATTAGTGGTTACCTCAGTCTACCCAGCTCTCCCTAGACATATCCTCTTTAGGCAGAGCATAGCTTGGTATGTCAGAGGGAAACCATACGATCATGTAAAGTTGCATGCTAGGCATTCTTTAAATGAGACACAGATTCCTGTACAGGTTTGCTTGCCATGCATCTGATATAAATTCTTCAAAAGCCTTATACAGTAAGATTTTCCAACTATTGCTCAAGAAAATCTACTCTATTTACCAACTTAATTTCTCTTTTAAAAATTTTCCAGCGATTGGGGTCAAATAAAATTATCTTGGCTTCACCTAACTATACCTCTTGAATCATATAATTTTCTGGTTTTTCTCTTGGTAATAAGATTTGACTTGTTTATGTATGTAATATCCTGCTAAATTTATTTTCTATTCCAGTGTGAGCAGCATAATGTCATAAAATCTTATCTTTCTTTCCTTGTACTTTGGAGTACTCAAAGAACGCAAGAAATACCTATAGAACTCGGGTAGGAAAGCTTTTTGGCTCGGAATGCAGCATGCAGTTTCAGGAATGTGTACAGTCAAACTCCAAACTATAGCAGTGTGGAGGTTTAAACATCCTTGCCCTTGGAATGTTGCTTCCCCAGTCTCTTTTCCACTGCTCACCTTGATGGCTGAACAGCTAGCTTGTGGGAGAAATGGAGGTCGGACTCTAGCAAGCTCACATGCTGGACACATATGCTGAATAAGCCAGATACACACATAGTATGTGAACACAGACACACACAAAAAAATCTCAATTGCATGCCTAGACTTTTTTTCTTGATCAATAGTAAAATATTCTGGAGGAAACTGTAAACACATGAAGTTTTTTTAAAAATAATTATTTATTATTCTCTGCAGTTCAGGCTGTTAGACTACAATGATGGCTCAGAAGTCCAGCCCAGACTGATTTCAGTTTCTAATCTCTAACTCTCCCTGCATGAGCTAGATTTAGTATGGAAATGTTACCATGCCAGTACCTAAGAAACAGAGATTTCACTAAATTTGTTTCTGTATGTTTTCCCTTTGGACAACCCATTTTACAAGGCTTATATCTGCAGAGTGCTATAAATTCTGACAGAATCCTGAAAAATAGGAACATATTTCCTTTACTATTAATAATGTTAAGAATGCTGTAAATGTTAATAGAATTCTACCTTCAACAGCTGAGGAATAAGTTTAAGAATACTTATAGGATTGCAGCAAAATGCTTATTACTTCACAGAATAAAGACTTGAATAATACAGTCAACGGACAGATGCAGAATTTGGTTCACACACTGGGAACAAATCACAACCTCAAGTACTCTCTTTTTGCCTTCTGCACCTGGCTTTCTCGTAAGCTCCTGGATTTGTTTAACTATAATTTGCTGCAACTTTTTGCCATACAGGGGAACAGTGGTTCGAGTGTTCCCTGTTTGCCGCTTCAGAGATCACAGCAAACTGGTTTGACAGACCAGGAAATCTGCTGGAAGGTAATGCACGTGGGGAAGAGAAAGGAGAGACCACTCTAGGTCATGACTCATTTCTAGTTCAACTAATAGCCTAAGAATTCATGGCCACTTCATTATTTACTCTGATGAATATACTACTTAATTTTCTTTCGAACCAAAGGCAGAATTAAATGTATTAGAGGAAAACATAAAGAGATAATAAAACAAAATAGATACTTTAACATAAAATGTATCCAGAACAATCTCCAGAATTTGGAGAGCACTTAGGCAATATTCCCTCAATGGGGCCGCCCCTTTCATTTTCACTGCCACTGCTATCGCTTGCTTGCTTGACAGGCAGAGAGTCAGCAATCAAGTACAAATGGCATCTTCTGTTCTTCCTCTCTACCATCTCCCCACCTGGGCCAGAGTGAGAGGCAGATGAACAAGCAGATTGCTAAAGTGAAAAGGAGAAACAAGTCCAAAAGATGGGCTTTCAGCAGCTGCCTGGCCTGGCTACTCTTGATACATACTGTATTTATCTTATACTCTATAATCAGCATATGCTTAAGTCTCTCCCATTGACCTTAATGGGTGTTAAATGTATGTAACTTTGTCTGGATCATATCCATTAAGCTGAATCCAGTGGAAAAGAAAATGCTTGCAGAATTTATTGCACCACTCCTGTGTAGTGCCTTCTCCACAAATCTGTCCTGGAGGGCTGGGGAACCCTCTGGAGCAGATCTGGGAGGGTTGTTCATGGGGGTAGAAAGAGGGGGGAAATCCAGGAAGCCCTGTTGTGTGAGTGGAATTTCGTTGTGTGAGCAGACTTTCACTCATGTGATGTTAGATCCAAGCCAACACTTTTTGTTCATTATTTTGTTTTTATTCTTTATGGAACAATAGCTTGAGAGTGCTCTTGGACTCCAAGTTGTCACTTGTTTCTCAGGTGAACTTGGTGGCCAGGAGTACCTTCCATCCACTTAGGCTGATTTTCCAGCCATGTTCCTTCTTGGATGAGTGGAGTCTTGCCAGAGTTATACATGCACTGACAACCTCTTGCCTGGATTACTATAATGTGGTTTACGTGGGACAGCCTTTGAAAATGGCCCAGACATGACAACTAATGCAGAACAGAGCTTTTTGACAAGGACTGGCCCCCGAGAACATATTAAATCAGTCCTTGGTCAGTTGCACTGGCTGCCTGTTGTAGTCTGGGCCAAATTCAAAGTGTTCCCATTAACATACAAAGCCCTACATGATGGGGCCAGGATATCTGAGGGAATACCTTTCCCCATATACGCCTCTCTTTGTCGGAGATCCTTGTCTGAGAACCATTCCCCAACAGAGTGAAGGGGTAAAAGAATAGAAGAAGGGTCTTATAGCCAAGGCAGCATGACTGGCATTGTTGCTGCTCTCTTTCCAGCAGAAGGTAAAGATGTTTCTCTTTAATCAGGTGTTTTAGTAGCTAATGGTTTCAACATTGTTTTAATTTCTACTGATGCATGCTTTGTTGTGATTTCCTTGGCTGTTGTAAGGGTTTGTATTTTTCTAATGGATTTTATGATTTTAACTGTTGTTTTATTGTTCCTTTTAGTGTTTTATTGCAAGCTGCCCAGAGAGCTGTTTGAGCTATGGTGAAGCATATAAATACAATTAATAAATAAAGCCCCTACAGGAAACCACAGTAGTATTTTTAATAGGAAAGCAGGACCCGTATGTGTAACATCCACAACATGACCCCATAAAACCATGCACAAACTTTCTTATGGAGTTTACACTAGGTTTATGAGCATTTTATTTTAAATTTTCTGGCCTTTCAATTTAACTTTCCTTTCTATGCATTCAGTGAACATTACCGGAAATGAAAGAATTCAGATCAGGTTGTAAGGACTTGAACTGGTTGATGTAATATTCTCGTTGTTCCTCAGTTATCCTCCAGGGGTCATCTGGGTAATTACTATTACTGTCATGTGGCTCTCTCTCTACTGAAAAAGACTTCAAAAAAGGGGGGAAATTATCATTTGGAAAGGCTATGACTTCTGAAGTTTTAAAGAGTAAGTTTTACTCTGTTCTCACTCCATCGCTCTTTAAAATAAACAGATGATGAGAGGCAGAAGTTAATAATACTCCTGTTGGATTTACAATGCATTTATCATATAACAACATCTCACCCTCCCATAAAATGTGGAGCATGGATATTTAACAAAATTATGCCTTTTCAATGATTTAGGAACTGAAGGTGGGAACATACCCCCATTCAAGATCAACAAGAATTAAAAATCTCGCCTTCATCAGCATGGTTCTCAGCAGAATAACTCTCCAAAGAAACTAACTGTACTTGGATATTTTATTTAATGAAATGTTTGAAGAAATAAGGTCCTTCAGATCACCCTTCCACTCATTTGGATATTTGTGTGTTTTACTTTTTAAAGTTACACAAGTCACGTTATTGGCATAATCTACCTCATGGCTGCTTTGTTATAGACAGAAGTCTAAAAGGAATATATAAAGCTGTTTAAAAACAAACAAATAAAAATAAACAGGATATAAACAAGGTGAAAACTGTGGTAGTTAATTACTGTGTGCAGAGTTTTACCAGCTTTAGCTGCAAAGGCTGAACAGACTTGAGATTTCCAAAAATAAATGGAAAAAGGAACCATCCCAAACAGCTTGATTGATGGTCCTCTTCTCAAAACAGGAAAAAGACCAGCTCATGTCACACAGTCATGTCACACAGGTATTCATTTATTAAGATTATCTAGGCAAGCACCTCAGGTAGCTAAACATTCGCACAGGTGCTCTATTGGTGCTCTATTAAGCCCACAACGGTTAGTCACTGCAGCAGGTACAATGGTGCACAGATGGCCACACCCAGTGACATCATTGCCCTACCCGGGCATTTTGCTTTTCAGCACAGAGAAAGGGACTTTGCTTTGGTTTGCACATGCCAAGCTAATGGGCTCAATGAACCCTTGGAACAGCAACTGCTCTTCCTAATGCTGGCCAAATCTCCTGGCCCATGGAGGAATCCCCACTCTGAGTTCACAGAACCTGCAACCTCTGAGTTTGGAGAGAAGAGTGGAGATAAGTGCCAGGCTTGAACGAAATCCAGGAAAGCCCCTCAGGACAGCCTGTAGAGGTTGTCTTCCCTTACAGTATAATAACATGAAATCCAGTTCATAAACTGTTCATGTTGTACTGCATTAGTAGGGAAGAAAAGAAAGAAGTTTTGTCTTTACTTTTCATGTGTAAAATTCACATGAAAAACAAAAGCAAGACAATAAGGCAGGATTGCACTTCCTCTGATGAACGTCTACGTATTCCATTGTGAGGTACTTTAACAGCACCTCTTCTTTAAAATATTTTATGGAATTTAGACTATTACTTTCCATTAGGAAAGAAATGACACCTAGAAGCTATTCCATTACATTGAAATGCTAATTTTACATTCCAGTTGGCCTGGGGCATTTTTCTAGTGAAAGCCACTCTTCCAGCTACTGGGTCCATCTGTTTGTGGATCCTTTCAAGATTGTGTTCAGCATTATTAATCATAAAATCACATCATTTATAGAGAATGGTTTTATGAAACAAAGAAGCTTTTCTTTTAATCATATTTACATCCTTACCCGAATAAGAGAGGAATGTGCTGATACAGATTTGGTTCCATAGTTTCCTGATGTTGCTCCATCTTGTTGGAGAGTAGAAAGTCTAGCTTCATAGGAACCTATGCAAGATTATGAGGAAATATTTGCTAAGTAGCACAATATCAAAGATGACGACATAGATAGATGAGTGTCTTTTCAATATTAAAACAAACACAGCCATGTCATACCCCTTTCCCTCAAAGATCACTTTAATACCACAATGCATTATTTAACCAGATAAAGTGTGATGCTAGGTAACATACTGTTAATTGGTTCTATATAGCAAGAAAATATTCACCACTCATGTTACAGGTTGAATGTTAATGTCCACTCACTGAAAATGTAATAAAAGAAGGACTGGATTTTTTCAAAGTGTTGTACTCTGGACAAGAAAGCCAAAATTTTAATTTTGTATTTGTAAATCAATGTATTTTTTGTATTTTTATATGTAATGGTAATTTATTATGTACTATTGTATTTTAATGTATTTTATCATGTTGTAAGCCGCCCCGAGGTTTCGGCAAGGGGCGGCATAGAAATGTTATAATAATAATAATAATAATAATAATAATAATAATAAAGTATGGTCTTAGGAGACATGTTAACTTCATGGATAAGATTAATTCACTGGTGAAGAGTCAGCACAGGAGCTAAATTTCACAGTATGGCAAGCAAGAACATCAGCATATGCCAAGCTCATGAGAACTATCTAATGTTCTAATCCAGGATGATTGCCAAATGCATATCTACATAGCATGTAATCTGAAAGTACGTTCCACTGAAACTCATAAAACTAATACCCAAATAATTCTGAAGTCTGAATATTCAGCTTTGTACAGCAAGGAATGGAACCTAGGATTTAAACGCAACTGTAGTTAATTAGATTCTTGGAAATTATAACCTCTGTCCTATTCTAAGAATCACAAGTACAGATGCTATGTTATGTACAGTGTTCTTCTCCCCACTAACATTTCACTTACTCATAATTATTAAATGTTAAGTCCCACTAGGGTCAATAAGTCTAGTGTGTATAGAACTGCAAAATCTATAGGTACTATTCCTGGATACTATTCCTGCCATCACAAAAATTGTATGTTAGGTACAAATCTGGGGATATAAAATAAATGAACAACCTTTTAAAATCTTAGATTATTTTTAAAATGTTTACTAAAATAGATATTTGCTTTTAACTCTTTACCTGAATTATGATTTTAAATGCATTAATCATGTAATGTCAGGGATCCACATAAATAGTGATAAAAGTTCTTACCAAGCTTAGAGAACAATCTTCTACCCTTACAGAATGGGTTTACCCTCTGAGGTCCTTGGAAGAGGAAATCTAAGCCAGGACCCCCTGTTCTAACCACTGATGAAATTTCTGTAGTGTCTTCACAGGGTAGGGGGAACATGCTTGCTGAAGGTCTTCTGGTGTGTGGGGAGGGAAAAGCCTTGTCTCCCAGCCCCCTCCACCAGCAGAATGCAAAAATTATAGAACTTAACGGGTGGAAGAAAACAACAACCATGGCTCCATTCTTGCTTGTGCCCTGCTAGCAAGACACTGGAAGGCTATGGGGTACATCAAAGGTTCCTACATGAGAGCACTCTGTTACTGAACATAGGACTGCTCTCTTATGGTAAGGACTGTGTACAAACCATAACCTTAGACTATATTTTCTTCACTGATTGGCAGTGGTTTTCCAGGAATTTTTCCTAGCTTTGGCTGAAGATGCAGGGACTAAATACAGGACCTCCTCATCCAAAGTATCTGCTCTATCATTGCCTGTAATACACATATTTCAGTCTTTTATGACCTGGCATAAGCTCTGGTCAAACTAGATTTGCAAGTTTCTGTAACACTTTAAGATGCTTTTGCCAAGAGGAAAAACAAAACAAAACCCAGAAACCCACTGCCAGTGTGATTCTTAGTGTTACAGTTAAGGTTTCCACAGCTATCATTTGTGATGAGTAATATGATTCCTTCTATCCATCTATTTAAAATATCCATTTGAAAAACTTCTAAAACAGTTTAAGGTAAAGAAAAATGGTAAACAAAAATCAGCTTTTTAAACTGTAACATTAAAATCTAATGACAATAGAGTATTAGATAAAAATAAAAATAGACTAAAACCTGTCAAAAGGTTTATACACCAGATCATCAAAGTACTGTGCAGAATGGAAGATGCGTGGATTTCTAGTATTCATTATTATGTACCTTTTCATTCTTAGATGGCTATCAGGTTTAAATTATTTGTAGGCAGTAGATATGGCACTTTTTAAAAGGCTCAAAGCTGCTTTTTATGAAGTTAGATTATCTCTCTATCTAGCTTTACATTGTACTCTGAATAGCAAGAGACATCTTTTTCACCATTTGGTCATTTTTTTTCCTACTAAACAATGTACCTTAGTTAAAATTGCCTTTTAAGAGACTGAATTATTACAAGCATTCAGGTATTCTACTGAAATTGATTTTTGATTTGGTAAAAACCTAAATACAGTAGGCAGGTTAGGACCTTAAATGACCTGTTTTACTCAGGGGCAACGTATTTGTACATAATGAAGGTAGAAAAGGGTGTGCCACTCCAGTTAAGATTGGCTGCTTGGCTGCTGTCAAACAATACTGAAGCTGGTGTCTTAAGTATACAAGATTGTTCATCTTTGCTTGTAATATAGTGATGAAAGGACACTTCACCTACCATTTCACATGCTTTCTGGAGCAAAAACGAATTTACCTGAACTCTTAAATTGAAGGAATTTTTTGGATCTTGTTTGTTTGTTTGGTAATATAGCTCTTTAGTTGTCATTTTGATTTCACGTTAAAGAACCTTTTCACTGCCAGAGTGAGCAGGTGCTTTTTAAAGTGAACAACAAAAAGTGAAAGCAAAGCTCTGGCTGCATGCACAATTTTATGTGACTCTTAGCCAATGATAACAGGAAAAAATGAAGAAATGCCATTCTAACCAAAGGAAGAAGAAGAACAGGTGCTTTAAGAGAAATTCAGTTCTAAATACTTGTCTAACTAGATAGACAGTGTAGGGGGTACATTCAGAATATATGGACAGTTAGCAAATAAAAGATGACACTTTTATATAACATGGCAGCAGCATGATGGTTTTTACCCAGTTCAGTACAATGAAAGATTTGTTAACAGATGCTTACAAGTTAATTATCAGAAAGAAGACGACAATACAAAATAATGAGAAAGTACCGTATTTTTCCCTCTATAAGACGCCCCCATGTATAGGATGCCCCCCACTTTTCCTACCCAGCTCCAGTGAGCAAGCAGCTGCCTCACGTGTGTGCCGCTTCACCACTGCCCCCCGAACCCCAACACGCTCGCAGTTCTCCTTGCGGTTCTCCTCTTGGCCCCCCATTTATAAGATGCACCTCGATTTTTAAGTAAATGTTTTAAAGAAAAAGTAGCGTCTTATGCACGGAAAAATATGGTACAATGTTTGAGACAATTTCTAAATAAGGATGTAATTAATCCAGGAAATTGTTGGTTGATTCCTAAACTGATTTTGTGATTAAATTACTCCAAAGCAGACCTCATCTTACCTCCGTGCTGCTGCTCAAGCCCACTTCTCAATACACCATACCCATAACTCAAGGGAATCCTCTGGTAGGTTGATGGAGAAGTAGGGGGTGAATCAATGGGAGACATGGGAGGAGACTTGGCTTCTTGCTTCAAGATAAAAATAAGAAATATTTAACAAAGGTCAGAAATTCTGGCTAGTCCACAACAATAGCAATTTCATCTAAAATAAGCTAGAAAATTAGAACTGAAACAAATTTGTCCGCATAAATTTGCCTTTGCCAATTTTGGTATTGAATGTTTGCTCAACACTCATGTCACTCATTAAGACACGATCTCAGAAACTGCTTTCAGTATCTGATTTCTGACAGCAACGTACAATATTTGACAGTATCTGACTACTGTTGAAATGAAACTGTATTTAGTTCTTAATTTAGTATTTAGTAAAACTAATTTAGTATTTTATAACTAAGACCTGAGAAAGACCTAAGAAAAGGCATCCTGTTTGAGACCTGAAAAAGACCAAACAGGACAGTGTCTAATCCAACTAACACAACCCAAGCCCTTCAGAGATTTAGGACTTCAATTCTCATCATGCCAGCAAGCATGACAAATGATTGCTAGGAACTGCAGTCCAAAATTCTGGAAGGCGCCTGGTTAGGAAAGGTTATTTGAATACTCAAGTTTGAAACTAAAAACTCCAATGTTTAAATTTTGGAGACCATTTCAGCTTCACATAGAACCAAGAAAACCCATGTGTTGTAAGGCATCAAGGTGGCAAAATTTTCATGTGACTATGTCCCGGGTAGATCTATTTAAAATCACACCAGGAAGACTATGGAAAGGAAGAGTTGCTCTGGTGTTCATAAATTAAATAATCCTGCAAGGAGCTGCTTCACAGAAATCGCTTGCCATGTTTCTGTATCACTGTATGCCAAGCAGTCTTCCACACAACTGGTTAAACATATGCATGAGAATTGGTGTTTTCTTGGTGTTAAAGCTCCACAGAATAATGGCTTTCCATTCAACTTCTAAACAATGTCATCTCTGCTTCAGGTAAAAACAAACCTAGGCCCTAAGAAACTATTCCAAGCACAATTTGCAATGAAGCAGTAATCAACTATTCTGAATATATTCTGAGAGTTTAAATATTAAGCATGTAGTCCTATGGGTTCTGCCATCATTAGTTGGAAGGCTTTGAACTCAGAGGCTTCTGTGTATCCAGCACCCTGCTGAGCTGTTGCCAGTATGGCAAAAGATATGACAGAGGTGATTTTAATTTCTTCATGCTCCTGCTGGTTTGCTTTTCCTCTGAGCTTATTTAAGCAAGGTGTCCTGATAGAACTGGAGCCAGAAGGGGCACAGAATTCTTTGCCTCTCCTTTCTCTGCCCACCAGTGCCCCCTTATAGGCCTCTGAGGCGGCAACTGTGATCTCGGAATGCAGCCAGCACGATTCGTTTTGCTTCAGTTGTGGGTGGGCTGGGAGAAAGCTCTGATTCCAGCACCCCTTCTGAGGTCACAGCAGTGTCTGTGGCCTTAGAGGGAGAATCCAAAGAATCCAATGAACCTACAACTCTCCCATGCAGTGCAATGTTGAGAATGTTGGACTGGGGACCCAAGAGATCAAGGTTCAAGTCCCCAGGTGGCCATGATGTTCACTGAGTGGGTTTAGGCCAGTCACAGACTCTAAGCCCAACGTATCCTACTGGATTGCTGTTGTGAGGATAAAATGGAGCTATATAAGCCACCTGGTTCCTCACATGAGGGGAAAAACAGGATATATACGCAATGTAATAACAATAAATAATTAAAAATACTAGTTCAGAAATCAGTTATTTGACTGTGTCATTTTCAAGTAAGACACTAAAATTGCTGCAGAACAAAATTTCCACACTGGAAGAACTTTACCTGTTTCTCTCCTTCATCCAATCTTCTGAAACTACTTTTTTCAAGTGCTGTATGTGGAATTTGAAATTTGGGCCCATGTGCTTCTGCTGGATGAGTATATCTTATTTCACTATCAGGTTTTAGAGCCACAAATCGAGGTAAGGGCAATTCTTAAATCAAAGAAATAAAAGATGACAGAAAAGCTGAGGACACATTAGTGTATTCCACTATATTATCACCACTACCTAAAAAGTGAATTTAAGAATTTAGGAAGTGTAAAAACATGACATTTTAAACTAACAGATGGAATTAATTGCATAGTGAAAACAGAATTCATACCCCATGTATACACTCTGTCTCCCTCTCTCCTCTATCTGTATCATCTTTGGCAACATTCACTGACCAATGGGCACTTCAGGGGATATCAATATTTCTAATGAAGTATATTTCTACATGACCTAGAAAGGTAAAATTTGGTAGTAATCACTATAGTCCTAATTACTAGAAAAGTACAAAAAAAGGTGGACATGTTTGCTTTTAGACACTGCTCCAGTAGAAGGCATATGGTTGGGGCTAGGCCAGGAAGATATCTCAGTGCTGTTCCTAGAAACTGCCTTTTAGCCATACACATATGGAGGCCATTTTTGGACAAGTTATGTTAAGGCAAAGTAGGCAGCCGTCCTGTGGCTAAGGAAACATGTAAACATACACAGAGAAATGGAACATCAGGGTGTAAGTCTATTTTCCAATATTATATTTCTTTTTGTACAGAGGAAGAAGACTGGGCCAAATCTGGATGAGTAGTATGAATAAATGCAAGTGCATCCCATAAAGCAAACCAAAATCAAATGATCTGAAATACATAGCCAAATATTGCACAATATCTGGGAATAGCACAGGCATCCCTTTGTTTTCCTTTAATGCAAAAGTCAGGGATTACATTCAAGGATTTTCTATATGAACCACACATTTAAATTTCATTTAAAACCATACTGTTTTCACAGAACACTCTCAAGCATAGGTGGACATATATCCAGTTAGTTATTCTACACGGAATAACTAAGTACACAATCATACCTTTTTGCAAATAAAAAACCAGGTATCACAAAGACAATAGAAATGAGTACATAATGTTTACACAGTAATAAACACTATCTCATGCAATTGCCTCAATTAATAATTAATTATTGAGTTAATCCCCGTTTGATGCCTTAATCCTAGTAGACTCCAGAAATACAGTGAAACAATGTATGCCTTGGTAAGTCAAGCTTGACCTTAGGCTTCATATATTGGAAGATATTAGTGAGATCTGTTTGTCAGTTTCCATGCAGATGCTGGATAATCATAGTTTGTTCAGGGCAGATATAACTCTTGGTAACATTAATGCAACCCATGCTTTGTAAGTCCTTTTGAAGCCATGACATGACTTTCTGCTTTACATGTAATCTTTCATGACAGTTAAGGCATGTAGATATAACTTTTAACTATGGCTAAGCAAGAAGTGACAGCTTTACAAATCCAGAAGCCATTTCCCACCAATTACACAACATTCTAAAAGCTTGTTCTTTTTTCATTCAACAGTTTAATAACTTATAACATGACCAAACTGCAAAAGAGAGATAGAGAGGGAGAAACCATGCAAGGCAACTAGGGAAAAGAAGCTGTGGGGCAGAGTCCTCAGATAGTACAAGAGTCATCTGCAATGGTTGCTAGTATTTTCAATTTGAAGTGCTATTAAATTATAAAGTCTCAAACCAGCCTTCTCCAGCCTAGCTGAAGAAAGGTTTCTAGGAGTTATAAACCAACACATCTGGAGGGCACCAAATTGACAGAAATATTTGGGGACTAGCTTAATTGGCTCCCCTCTATTCATCTCACCCTACTATACTTTGAGAACATCATCTGAAGACCTACTTACATTTCGCCTAGGAGAGGGCTTTTTCAGGAATGGCCTCATGTTGCAATGTTTTGTAACGAAGGTACATCAAGGCCCAGCAATGCAAACTTTTAAAAAGGCCTTAAAGGCTTCTGGCTTATTTTCCATTGCATTTTATTAAATGGTATTTCATAGGTTGTTGACTTTATAAAATGATTTCTATTGTTGATGTCCATCTCATACATAAGCACCTTATGCCACCTTCCAAGGAGTTTGATGGCCTTCATACAGTATTGGTGGCAGTGGGAAAGGGTCAGCTTGTGGCACTCTGAGTTATAGTGGAAAGGATTTCCCTAGGCTTGTAAATAAAAGCATTTGGTACAAAAGTAATGTAAACAGTTGAAACTGCCCAGTGAAGAATCAGTTTCCCCACAGGTGGTACCAGGACTGCAGACAGTCAATCTCCATATTACCTTAAAAAGTAGCTTATACATGTTTTAAATAAATGCACTATGGTTCCAGGAATTACACCAATTTAGTGTAGAGAATTACCATTCTGGATGCTTTCTATTCGTACTGGAAGACCAGATTGTGCAGCAGCAATTAGTTTCAGAGCAGCATAAAACTGAGCACGACCAAAATAGCCAACACGTTTAGCACCACACAATTCTGTAATCTGAAAAAAAAGACAGAAAGACCATATGATTATAATATTTAATGTTTTGCAATGCAAAAAAAATACACATCGACACAGAAAGTACGAGTTCTGAAAAACAACAGATAAACACATTGGACAAAGTCCTGGTGCAGAGATCTGGGCCACACTGTACACTTTAAAAGGCTTCTGCATTCAATAGATAATGATGTATACTCTGTCATATCCTCCCATTCAATCTTCAGTCATCTGTCCTCCCAACTCCAGATGCAGCTACATGTAATATCTACATACATCCCGATTCTTTTGCCCATCCTCAATGGAACTTTGTAAGGAAAACCTGTGTAACTACCAGTTTAAGGATACAGAAAAGGCTTTTAAAAAATAAACCAACGTTTATTTCTGTTCTTGCTGTTATCTAAGCGTCCCCTCTTACTCAATGTATAATCAGGAAGAAAATGTTTCCTCAAGAGCAGAAGAAATGTGTGTTGCACTGAAATGTTCCCTTCTTCAACAAAGGAATTTGAGTTAGGCTAACAGAAGGCCTCTTTCTGGTAGAAAGGGAAGGGAACAGTTGAAGAGCCCAGTTAGCAGGAGACTTAATGAGGAATGCTCCTGCTTCAGTCTTTTCAGGAACCCACCATTCCTCTTACAAAATTCTGCAGAATAAATGCAACTTGTTTAGTGTGCTACTAATAGCACTGGGCCATCGGCCATTTTCTATAGTGACAATTCCAAACTGTAGCATGCCTGCAAAGCTCTTCAGCAACTCAGCTGCCTCCTCCCAGTCCCAGCAAAAACACAGTAGTCAAAACAAGCAGATGGGAGCAGCGGGAAGATGCCCGAATCCAAGCTTGTCCCTGCATTGCACAGACATTTGCAAACAGTTCAACTTTCAAGAATAGTTCCCCCATCACCAAGGAGCTATTTTCCACCCCTTGTAGAAGGCACCCAATGAAGTCACTCCACTTGTTTCTGCAACTGTTTCCTGAAATACAAAGTTACCACATTCAACTGAATTTGCTTTCCTCTTGTCACCTCCCTTGATGAGAGAGATGGTTGTAGTGAAAGGCCTGTAAAAGCTTTTAATAAACAAACAAACCTTCTTCTCCTCCCACCACCTTCAGGAAGATTTGTACAAATGTAATGTTATTTTTTTATACATTTAGGAAAGAAATATGCATATATACTGGTTTTCTTTCACCTTCATGAAGAACTGTGTAAATTTAACTTTTTAAAAAGAACGTTTTGGGATGAGTTTCATAAATATAAGCATGGTAGTTTCTACAATTTAGTGAATTTATGCATATCTCCCAGAAAGCTTTTAAGTTAAATTTGCACAAATCTTTCAAAAATTGGAAAAAATGTTAAATGTATGTAAACCTTCCCAGGAATGGAAAAAAATCAATAAAATAAATTTTAGTTCACTTGTTGCTGTTGTTTTTACTGTAATCCACCTAAAGAACCACTTGGGCTATGCGGTAACATATAAAAATAATAAATAAATGAATAAATGCATGCTCCTTAGCAGAGTGGCAGAATAGGCTCCTGAGGTGTCTGGAAAGTCCCATGGAATATGTACTGGGAATGGAATAGAGGTCCAAGGGGGAAGCAAGGCATCGCAATCCTCAGACTTTCTGCCAGGAATATTGCAGGTTAGAGAGTGAATGAACAACCAACCCGCCATAGCTTATCTTTAGGGTGGCTTATTATAATGTGTGAGCCCGCTCACTATAAAAGAGATTAAAAAGCTAGCACTGATTCTATCTAAGTTTTGTCACTGTTAGCGTAAACTAAAGTAAAGCTGCTAAAGTAAACAGCCCACAATTCTTTGCACCAAAACACAATATGCCAATTCCTGCATGCCAGTCAAGGTTCTTGGTCACTTGGAAGCCCCAGAATCTCTTGGGGGCCGCTAGTGTTGTAGCCCACTAGTGTTCTAGCCCACTAGTGTTGCTTCAGCTGCAACCCAAATGCTTGTTTAAAATAAACTTTGAAAATATAAAAATAATCCTCCTCATTTTCAGAACTACTAGCCTGCTGCTGTCTGTAAGACTAGCCTAGGGGGGTTTCCTCTCTCTGCTAAACAACTCTGATGATAAGGGAACCCCCAAATCCTATTTATCTGTGTATTACAGATACCAGGCTGGTGTATAATACATAAGGTCTTAGCTGAACACAAAATACAACTGAGAACAATAAAATATAAACATCAAAACAAATCACAGCAAGACAAATAACCAAACTTAAAATGTCCAAGGAAACAGAAAAATCCAGTTCGTACATCAGAACAATATAGCTTATTAAACAATGAAGTGGGAGTAAGTCAGGGGTCCTCAAACTTTTTCTAAAGGGGGCCAGTTGACAGGTGCCTGCGGTAGGCACAGACCACCAAGGCGGTGCCGGTGGGGGCGGGGGGGGCACGGGCTGGTGAGGGGATGGAGTGCGCGCACACGAGGCAAGGTGAGGCGGAGATGGGAGGGGGCACGCAGGCCGAGGCATCCGCTTGCTTGGGAGGAGATCCGAGTCCAAAACGACTCCTCGCAAGCAGGGTGTGAGCATGGCAAGGCACCGGGTTGCTCATAGGAGATTGTTTTCTCCGATCGAGTCCAAAACCATCTCCCCATGAGCAAGCTGCCGCCGGACACATACGGAGAGGCACCGGCTTGCACACAAGGAGATCGTTTTCTCTGAGCTAGTCCAAAACAATCTCCTTGCAAGCAAGCCATGCGCCCGCCCACACACCCAGCGAGTGCAAAACCTGTGGGGCGGGCCAGTTAAATGGGCATAATTGGCCAAATCCGGCCCACGGGCCTTAGTTTGAGGACTCATGGAGTAAGTAAACAAGTTCTCACTGCCCAGTCACTCTCACAGCAGATGCTCCACCCTGGATTGTTTAATGTGACCTCCAAGCCTAGAAATGTAGGTTGTTGGGTGAGTAACAATCCACAGTTCCAGTTTCAGACATCAGAGTAAACAACCCAAAGATGACATAATTCTGAGATGTTTAGTTCAGTGGAAGCAACTAGATGGGAGCCACAATGCATGCTTGCTTGCTCGCTTGCTCATGTTCATTTCTGAATACCATTGGTTAAATAAATCCTGGGTAGCTGTGACTTCAGAACAGGGTCAATAGCTTTATCCTATCACTGGAAGGACTGTAATTTCAGCACCAGATAAAACTGTTAAGGGAGGCTGTTCCATAGTCTGGCACCATAGCAAATAAGGCTCTTTCCCTTGTTGTCATTGAAAGTACTGAAGACACTTGTAGAACAGAACTTCAGAAGATGCTCAAGACATAGGCATGATGATGTAATGCGTGGTGCTCTGTCAGGTAACTGAAAATTCTATTTACAATTTTTAAAGTAAGCACCAGCACCTTAAATAGGATTTGGAATTAAGAGGTAAAAAGTGCAGGCTGCTTCTCATAATGTTCTATCACCTACATTCTGAAGTGCCTGAAGCTTCCAGGGTATCTTTAAGGGCAACCCCACATATACTGAATTGCTCTAGTCCAATTGAAAGACTATTAGGGCCATTGTAGCCAGCTTATCACTGTTAATAGTTTAACCTGCCGGAGCAGGTGAAAGGCATCCTGAGCTACTGGTTCTCTACTGTCAGTGCGGGATCAAGAAGTACCTACAAGCTATGAGCCTGCTCTTTCAGGAGAATGCAGGTCTGTACAGAACAGGTTGCGTATCCATTTCCTGGACATGAAAGCTGCCAATCCATAGTACCTTTGTCATGTGCAGTTCTAATTACTGGCCCACATCCAGCTTACCAACTCCAAGAATTGTGATGCAGGACAAGAGTCCTGAGAGTCCCTTGGACTGCAACAAAATCAAACCAGTCAGTCTTAAAGGAAATCAACCCTGACTGCTCTTTAGAAGATCAGATACTGTCGTGCCTAACGTCTCAGGGGAGGCATTAGCACGAGAAAGAGGGCCAGAAGACCCCAGTGAGGATCAGGCTTTAGAACAGGGAGATTTATACTTGGTGCCCATGGCACAAACAGCCCCTGGCCTGCCACCTGACTCTCAAGTTTTTGAGGGAGTTCTTGGAAATCAGGAAGGGGAGTCAGTTGTCATGGAATGTGCCCAACTCAGGTGGAGACTTCGCTGCTTAGACCAATTAGAACAGAGAAGGAGACAAAGAAGTTTGTCCAATCCCCGTGGAGAGAGACGTGTGAGGAGATTGAGGTCCACATGACAAATCTCAGAGAGGTCAGAAAGGAGAGGGCAACTGTGTTCCTTGGAGCTCTCTGCGGTAGCTCCTACACTATCTGTCGTAAACAAATCTTGTAGTTGTTTGGAATAAAGGTCTTTAGTTTTTATTGCCTGCGTCTGTGTGAGTAATTGGGGACATGAGTTACGACCTCACAACAGATACTGAAGATGAAACCCAAATCCTTTGGGCACCTAATGAGAAGGAAGGACTCACTGGAGAAGAGGCTGATGCTGGGAATGATTGACGGCAATAGGAGAAGGGGACGGCAGAGGATGAGGTGCTGGATGCAGCCACTGGGGCAGTGGGTGTGGGCTTGGGTGGACTCTGAGAGATGGTGGAGGACAGGAGAGCCTGGAAGAATGTTGTTCATTGGATTATGAGTTGGGCATGACTTTGTGACCAAACACAACAGACACTGGTTCAGCACTTGTACCTCATCACCCAAATCTGATGGCAAAAAAAAAAAAAAAAAAAAAAAGGAGCTGAATATCATCTGTATATTGATGATGCCTCACTTCAAACCCTCAGACAACTTCACCTAGCTGTTCTCTATATATGTTGAAAAACATGGGAGATAAATGTTGAAGGATTCTACAACTCTGTAGCAATGTACAGAAACCCCAAGACTGTTGAAACTGTTCTTGCAAATAAGGACAGAACTACTGTGTCACTATGCCTATGGCACCTAATCTGCAGTGCCAGTCCAGCAAGATATAACTGTCAATTGTGTTATAAGAGATCATGATGAATCAACTGCCGCACTACAGCTATTTCGTGCTCTTGATGCAATACCA